ACAATCTAGTCTTGTCGGACATTTTAAAACTACATTGCACTAAATCCCAAAACATAAAGGATTGGACAAAATAATCCACCAGTTTAGTGAATTCTAAAGATAATCTAACAATAAATTAATCTGATATGACAGTGACCTTATAGCCTAATAAACATTTTGTTTAGGGGTATAAAAGGCCTTATAACTGTTATCCTCCAATTGAGGGAGAGAGAGGTACCTCTTTTATTAATTAATCCGCACTACATTTCGGAGCTTCCTTTATTAAAAAAAAGGATACAATAAGGATTAAAAGAAAAAAATTGTTAAGTAACAGAGAAAAATAAGCTTTGTACAAATAGCTGACCTCTGATAGCGACGTTACCTCCACAGAGTTATAATTCATCAAAATCTGAGTTTTACTCCATACAGTAAGGGAACTAAAATTTCTCATCGGAAACGCAAATTGCTGCCTAAACACTATAGTATTGTTTACAGAAAAGAATTAACCGGTAATTAAGACTTACAGGGCATTAATTCTAAGTAAAAAAATAATTCATACCACTAATCAGTATTAAATTGATTTGTCACACGATAAATCACAATTAGCGAAACAAATTACCAATTCTAAATTACTGACAAATTTATACAAATTTGCGTGACCCTGTTCATGCTGGTAATAATTGAACAATTCTTTTTTCAACTTAAATTATTACGATATGAAACTCTTGCTGAATAATAAATTATCATGCCACCATATTTCTGCAAAGAAATGCCGTAAACTTACAAAGCAAAAACAGTACTGCATTTAGTCAACAATTTACATTAAAGACAATAATGAAATGTTTCACCTTACCTATTGCAATACATCAGACCCTTCACAGATTTCGATTAACGTCCACTCCACCAGGGAGAAGAAACAAAAAAAGGTGAGTTTATGACAAAAATACTAGATCCTTAAGAAAGGCTCATCGCCTTTTTTGGTGTTGGCGGTCACTTTCAAAAGTGACCAATGTGACCGAGAAAGTAACGGTTACTTATGGAAAGTGACCAATATATCCCAACCAATTCGCGTCCACATCCCAGATAGCACAAAGTCGTCTTAAACACGCCTTACATAAGACATATCTAGTATGTCCTGAAAAACTAGAAGACGTCTAAGGTTACAAAAGGGGACGTCTTATTAATGGCTTATATTGGTCTGTAGAGCCTTAAATAAGCCGTAATATAATGGTCTGGTTAGCCTTAAATAAGACGTTCATTATTTGTATTCTGCTAATTATATAACCTGTCCATAATAATATAATAGTTATTTATTATAAAAGGGAAAAAGTATTAGAGTTTAGTTCGAGGTTGTATTGTCTCCCGACGCGAAGTGGAGGGAGACAAAAACAGAGTTTATTTTTTACATTTTATTTTAAACATTTTGGGTTAGGGTACAGCCTTCGAGCTGAATTCGGATCACACTTCGTAAACCATTCACAAAATAATATTTCTATATATAATTCAAATAAAAAGTAATTTATTTGAAATTTGATGGAAATCATTAAATGATGCAGTTTTGTAGCTTGTCTTTCAAAAAATCATATTACGGATTTTATAAAAACTACAACACAGGTTATAGTCCAAAAATAAAAAAGTAAAACCCACTAAATATTAATTTTTTTTTAAATAATGTACGAACCGCAGTAGAATATTTTCTGTCAGTTCGACTTTTCGTTCCGTGACGTCACACCCTTTCTTAGGAACGGACTGAAGAGGCCACCATGGTGTCTACGAACCGTGGGTGTAGCGGGAAATGAAACAAAAGCCAAATACTTATATAAGTATAATTTTATTAGTTACATTTTACAATTTCTCTATAATAATAATAAAAAATCATCAACGATGATAACAATAATTATCATAATTTTTAAATATAGATACATAACCTAGGAAAAAAAATAAAAAATTATCGGAATGATTTAATAAAATATTCATCTAAAACAATATTATATACCGTGCTATTTATATGTATATATAGAAGTAGAATCGATAATATTAAATAACCTCAAAATATTACCAAAAGGTAAATATTTTACATCTATTAAATATTATATTTAAAAACAGTGTAAAATAAATAACCAAAAAGAAACTTGTTAAAAAGTTTTATAAAACAATAGTAGTAATAATTTTAACTTTATTAAAATCAATATTTTATCTTTCACTAAATTAGATCATCAACGAGCATTTTAACAATAATAATGAATTTTCAAAAGTAATTTTTGGACTAGTCCGACGGACATGTCCGGAAAAGTAATGAAAAGTCACAATAAAAAGTAGTCGACCTTGAGCATAGAAGACACACAGTTATATCTCCATCCTGGATATTTTTTTAAAAATACTTTGGGAACAATATTTGCATTTGTATTTTCGTTTTTCTTTTTAGGCAAATCATTTGTAAAATACTTCCAACCTTTGGATTTTTTGACCGTTTTTTCACGAGTTTATTTTAATAAGATATGAAACGAAAATTCCAAAACATCGTTAAAAGATATTAAAGTATGTTTGAACTAGTGAACTTTTCAGACTAGTCCGTCGGACTTTTCCAAGCGACCCATCACTATTCAAAAATAGGAAATAAAATATTTCGGCTTTTCCAGTATTCTTCAAAAAGTCAATATAAAAAAAATGTTAATAATGACCATAAAGCTGTAACAAATTTGACTTAAGGGCGGTAAAATAGTATTTAAAGTTTTTTAGTCCTTATTGTTTTAAATTTTGAAAAATTTACTAACTCGATTTTTGAATATACCCCTTTTTCCTAACTTAGTTATTTGTTGAATTCAATCATTGTATTTAGAGAAGATAGTAGAACAACCTTATGGACGTTTCATTGGAGGCAATTCTGTCGCGACATCTGTTAGAAATTCATCAAAATAGTCCGAACGCTAGCGAGGAAGCGCATTGAGTATAGAATTCTATATACATAAAATTTTCTTAATTTTTAAATTCATATGGGTAAGTGCCAAATTTAAATTACTATTGTTTATATCCTCTAAAATGATAAATCGTAAATACATGTTCATCAAGCATAATTAAACTCGTATATCTCATTTTTAAAACAAATATTCTGAATCGATTATCGGTCCATCTATTAGTAAATAGAGAAATTATGTTCGTTACGAAGACGACAAAATTGTCAAAGACATGACTCGGATATCACGGAGCTTGCTGCCATCTATTGATACTGTCGATTATCCTCCAAGATAATTTGCATTGGTATTGTTTTACTAGTTGATCTAAATGCAATGATTCAATATTTAAAATAGTATACCAATTTGAACATATTTTGACCATTTTTATTTGACAATGCTTAGCAATTTGAACCTATTTTGCTTATTTTTTGAAACAGGCGATATTTTGCCTATTTTTCCTAAAAAAAAATTGAATTTAACGCATAGCTCAGCAACTTATTTCTGAAAAATTTTAATGCATATTTAACATGATCAATCAATTTGAAGATTATTGTGACGGTTTTTGAGACAGAAGTTTTTTCGCTACATTTTTTCTGAAAAATTTTGAATACATCGCTTAACATAGCCTAGCAACTTTGGACTTATTTTAAACATTTTTGAAAGAGGCGATTTTTGCAGCGCGATTTTTATTTTTTGAAAAATTTGAATGCTAATTTAACATGATCAAGCAATTTTAACATTTTGACGATTTTTTGAGACGGGCAGTTTTGATACTGCACATTTTTTTCTAAAAATTTTTAAATACAACGATTGCTACACAATTTTAAATATTTTTGAACAGGGCGTTTTTCTGCAGCAAGATATTTTTTTTCAAAAATTTGAATGCTTATTTAAAATGATCAAGTAATTTGAAAATATTTTAACTGTTTTTGGGACAGGCGATATTTTTCTGAAAAATTGTAATGCTTAAATTTGCAAAATTCTCTAAAAGTTCGATTTTCTAATATATCCCGCTTCTTAGTAATTTTGATGACTTCAATGCATATTTAACATAGTTTACCAATTTGAACATATTTTAAACATTTTTGAAACAGACGTATTTTTTAACCTATTTTGGATTATTTTTGAAACGGCCGGTATTTTTCCAAAAGATGTTAATGCTTACTTAGCATATTGAAACGCAACATTATTTTGACACTTTTAGAGACATGCGGTTTTTTGCAACGCGTTTTTTTTTCTGAAAAATTTTAAATACAACGAGTGCTTAATAACCGTTTAACATCTTTAATATATTTTTACCATTTTTTAGACAAGCGGTTTTTTACAGCACGGTAATTTTCCGAAAAATTTTAATGTATGATCAATTTGAACACTATTTTGTCGGTTTTTGAGACTGACAGTTTTCACCGCACGTAATTTTTTGGTAAAAACCTTTTAATTATATTCTTATGTAACATAGATTAGCAATATGAATCTATTTTGACCATTTTTGAAAGTCGACTTTTGGTTGTGACATATTTTTGACACGGTTTAGTTAAGACAGACAGTTTTGCCGATCGTTAGCTTTTTGAAAATCTTTTAATTTTATTATTATTTAACATAGCTTAGCAACTTGAAGCTATTGTAACCATTTTTGACAATGGCGGGTTTTTTATCAGCGAATTTTTTTCCAACCCGACCCGTACTTCAACAATACGCATTTTCCAAATAACTCGTCTTTTCTAATATTTTCAAATATCCTTGATAACGATTTTTTCTCTTTTTATTTTATTCCAGCATTTTTCACATAATTCCAATTGACGAACTTTCTCCAAAACGCAAAAACAAAGTTACATTCACTTTTCCAATATTTTCCATTATGAAAAAACGCTAATATTGACCAAATAGATATAAAAATCAATTTGGTGGGTGGTAAAACAGTATTTAAATTTTTTTAGTGCCTAATTAATTTATCCCACTCAGTAAAAAAGTGACATAACTCAAAATTTGCATGTTTAAACTTTTAATCGTAAAACAGCACAAAATGGCGTCCTCCATATGTGGATCTTTTTAAATGGCAGTGCTACTCTAACTCTAAGACGTACTACGTTGGAGTAACACCGTCATTTAAAAATTTATACAAATGGAGGGTGTCATTTTGGACCGTCTTACGATTAAAAGTTTAAACATGCAAATTTGAGTTATGCCACTGAGTGTGCTATATAAATAAAAACCGCAAATCTCGCAAAATTTACTGAAAATTGATATACAGACTACAAAACCACTGTTAAATGAATTGTAACTAACTTTAGACTGGCTATTGGTTATGTGATCTGCATTTTGCACATTTGCGAGAACACCGGCACAACTCAAAAAACTTCGATTCGAGATAATGAATTTCAAGATTATTGCATCTTGTCGTTACAATTTAAACAATATAAGTATCAAATTTCCGATAACAACGGAAGTCTGTATAAGGAATGTCCCTTTGTAATTAGGTTGGTGCAATAATCTCAGAATTGTTGATTTTTTAATTGTGCCGGTATTCTCGCAAATGAGCGATTTATCGAGAAGTTTAAACGTCATAAATTTAGCTACGATCCACTTAACGTAGTTGAAGTGAACTCGGCATCATCCTTCATCTGGCTATCGGTATAATTTATACTAAACTGTTCCCTCTTCATTTCAATTTATCAATTACCGGTAAAAACTGCATTCCAGATTAACTATTTAGCTTCCAGTTTCTTAGTTTCGGCTTTTTCATCTTCTAGATCGGGATTTAATAGTAAACCTTTGTAGGCATCCCGATCACCATCGGGCGACTCCATTCGCAGTTTCAGGTGGACCGCGGTGTTGCTGAAATGCTTGGAAATCTGTTCGGCCTCGTCTGAGCTCTCCAAATTCGCCAATTCGCTTTTTATCTTCTTGATCAGCTGGTTTAGAACGTCAACGTCGACCTTTGTTTGAAAATGGAAAGAAAAAATTAATAGGAAGTAGAAAAATGTCAAGAATGTGTAACAGAGTTGCCATATATTGACATTTATTTTGCTGTATATATTTTGCAAATAAAATGTTTAAAATACATATATTGATAAGTATTGTAATGATTTTGATAGGCTTTATTTTTAAATTATAAATATTTTTTAATATTATATTAATGGATATTAGGACAGTTGGCAATATCAATAAATTGTATTTACAAATAACCTAATTATGTTATCAACAGACACTCTTCAATGTACTTGTTTTATTTCTTTTCAGTAACACCAAAATCTGAATGACCACGTTCAGAATAGTCTCACACAAAATAAAATTATTATTAGTTATAATTTATTAAATGACTAAGTCAGTTCAAGAAAGATATAAATTCAAACTTTTCAAAAATTACATTTCTGCAAAATTATTAAAAATATTGTCTAGATTTGAACATGTTTCTTTATATTAATACATTAAATAATTAAAATCATGTATATGTAATAAATTTTTTTATTTGAATAAAATGTGTATTTAATATGTAGTATAGTAGTATAAACTTGGTCCAATTTCACTTCAATTCGATGTTTATATATTAATAAAAAATGCTGACTTGTAATTTTAAATAATTTTCAAAAAATTGAACTGGTTTAATATTTTTCTAATGTATATTTAATTATTAAATAATGCTAATTATTATTTTATATTGTTTATTCCGTCATTATAAATTTTTTATTTCATATGTAGTTACTATAAACTTGCTCCAATTTCACTTCAATTCGATGTTTATATTGTAATAATAAAATTGCTGACTTCTACTTTTAAATAATTTTCAAAACATGAACTGGCCATCAAAATTGGAATAATAGTTTTCTAATGTACATTTAAATTATTAAATAACGCTAATTGTTATTTTATATTGTTTATTCTGTGATATAAATTTAGATGCAAATTAAAAATAAAGAGATTCATAAAAACCATCTTGTACTATTAAATATAAAATATTGTTTGAAATATATTCAAATATCAAATTAATAATGTCCAGTTCAAAAGATAAACAATATAAAAGTGTCTCGTAATGATAATAAACATCGAGATTTCCTTTTAGAACTCAGACACCAGCGGTTTTTTAGTCGCGCGGTTTTGTCTGAAGAAATGGAATTTAATGTATATTTAACACAGTTTACCAATTTAAACCTAAACATATTTTTACTATTTTTAAGACCAGCTGTACTTAAAGCGTGGTTTTATCTGGAACAATGTTTAAGACCGGCCCCCAATTTTTTTTTAATTTAACGCTTCGCTTATATATTTAATCAATTAAAACATATTTTTATTATTTTTAATACCGGCGGTGTTTATCTGAAAAAACTTAATTCAGTTCCTATAACATTATCTATCAATTTGAATATTTTTATCATTTTTGAGACATGCTTATTTAACATATTTAAGCAATTTAAACCTATTTCTATATTTGTTTTAGAATCATGGAAGACTATGAAAGAAGTCAGCAGCGGATATTGAATATATGGAATGAGATTGAAAGTGACGAAGATGAAGCTGTAGGCGGATCAGAAAGTGATGATAACTTGGATCATGTTAGTTCTCAAATAAGTGATCCAGAAGAAGACATTGACTTTGAAAATCTTATGGAAGAGGATGACCAGTAACACTTTATACACCAAAACTATTATTAATAAATAAATTAAATAAATAAATAAATAAATAAATAAATAAATAAATAAATAAATAAATAAATAAATAAATAAATAAATAATAAATAAATAATAAATAAATAATTAAATAAATTCTTTATTGCCCAACAGATATAAGTAAATATTGATAACGACAAAAATAGAGTGAATTTTGAATTTTTGGTGATTTGATATCTATATAATTTATTTTTGCAAAAATTTAATTTTTTTTTTCAAAAATGTGTGATTTTTTACTTGAAGAGTTCAATAATTTTTGTTTTTATTCGGTATTGCGTAATAAAACTTTATAAAAACTGGTTTTTTTATTATTTTTTAAATCAAATATACTTCAGACAATGCTATTTTATTAAAAGTTCTGAAATTTGAAATTTAGTTTTTTTATATTTTTCAAATTGGGGTCTGTCACACCCCACTTTGTAAAAAAAATTTCCAGGGTAATGCCAGGTTAACATATTTAAGCAATTTAAACGTATTTCTATCATTTTTAAGACCGGCGGTTTTTTAGTTGTGCGGTTTTATTTGAAAAAATTGAATTCAGTGCATATTTAACAAAGTTTAACAATTTGAAAATATTTTTATAAGTTTTAAGACATGCGGTTTTTTAGCCTCATGGTTTAATCTTAAAAAATTGAATTCAACGCCTAATTAACAGAGTTTACTAATTTGAATATTTTGACAATTTTTGAGACATACTTTTTTACCACGTCCAATTTTTTTTAAATTTGTTGCTTCTTTAACATAGTTAAGTAATTTAAATCTATTTTTATCATTTTTAAGACCAGCGATTTTTAACCCGCGCGGTGTTAATTTTTTGTATATATTGTATATATTTGTTTATGAAATTGAACTGGAATTGATTTGATTATGCCAGATCCAATTCGCTTCTGCCCATAAAACCATTTAAAATATATAATAAAATATAATTTACCTGATCATTTCCCTTCTCGAAGAAATAAATGTAATGGTTCAACAACTCGACGAACAGCTGCACTTGCACGTACACATCCATGCACTGTTTCGCCGTACGAATGCCTTTCTTCAGACATTCGACCACTCTTTTTCCGTCGTGCGTTTCTTCGCCTTTGTTGGTGAGGCTTTTGCCGCTCCAGAAGAGATGCGAACACGTGGCGACGCCTCTGCATTGGTCGGGTTTCTTCAGCAGTTTACTGGCCGCCAGAGCGCACTGAGATCGTAATGGGTCGGAGTTTTCTTCGGAGAAGCAACTGATTTGTTCCAGGGTGCCTACAAAATTTGTGTATTACATTTGTAATTTATGGGTTAGGAATTTGAATATACTTTGACGATTTTTGAGTTTTTTAATTTGATGTTTATTTAAAATAGTTTATCAATTTAAACTTATTTTTAAGCTATTGCATAGCTTTTATCCCGGGCTTTGAGTGCGACGACCGAATCAAGAAATTCCGTAACAACCGTAACGAAAAAAAACCTAACACCCCCACTCCGACCGGCACAACGGTGCGGCGTTAAACAATATTAACTTTTCATTTATTCAATAAAAGAAAATCGAAAAGTCGAAAAATCGAAACAGAAATTCCGTAACGAAAATAAACCTAACACCCCCCCACTCCGACCGGCACAGCGCTGCGGCGTTGAAAGCCGTGCATCGTCTAACGTCGTTTCAGTTCGGCAGACTTCGGCACGGTGTTTGTGTGCGTGCGACTAGACGTATGCTTATAGATTAGCTGCTAACTGATTCTATCTCTTTTAGACACAATTTCGGAAAAATTGAATTTGAAAATGAATAATGATCCACAAGAATCCACAACAAAATATGGGACCACCATTGACGCGGTATTTTCTAGATATTTAGAGGATATCAAGTCTCAAATTTATGTTTCTTATTTCAGTTACGATAAACCTATATTTCAATGATAAAAATTCCTGAATAACCTACATGTATTGTAAGATAATAAAAATATTTTAAACAATATTAACTTCTCATTTATTCAATAAAAGAAAAAAAAATTGTTTTCTTATCGGTCACCACACTCAAAAAGTGTAACTTGAATTAATATCAAAGAAAAAACTTGAATTAATATCAAAGAAAAAACTTGAATTAATATCAAAGAAAAAAAAATACTGCATAAATAAAATAAATAAATAATTATAATTGCATAAGTTGATCAAAAATGCTATGCAATAGCTTTACCGCGGCAGTCCCCGAGTGTCACAAGTATTTTTTATAATTTTTGAGATTGGCGGTTTTCCTGTTTTTAATTCACTGCCTATTTAAAATAGTTATCAATTTGCACATAGTTTGACTAGTTTTGAAACCGGCGGTTTTTTACTGCACCTATTTTTTTATTATTTGTTTTGATTTAATGCTTATTTAACATAGTTTAGCAATTTAAACCAATTATTATCAGTTTTGAGACAGGCGGTTTTTAGCCGCGCGGTTTTATGTGAAAAAAAAAAATGAGTTTAATGACTAGTTCATAGTCTGCCAATTTGAAAATAATTTTACCATTTTTGAGATCAGCCGTTTTTTTACTGCGGCAATATTTTTATTTTTAATTGAATGCCTATTAAACAAAGTTCGTAACGGTTGGAACCGTTATCGTTATTTTGTAACGGTTGGAACCGTTTTCGTTATTTTGACCCAAACATCTCTACTCTAATGTCATTTGTCGTTTATGCCTTGCGTCAAAGGTTTGTAATTTATTTCGATTCGAATCTGTCAACAAGCAAGTTGATTTAAATTTTAAATTATCTAGGTCATCCGATGTACTAAATAAAGTTTATCTATCGTATAGGCCGTCTTCTTTTGTAAGGTAAGTTTGAATACCGATATATTGTTGAAAATATGTATTTTCTACAAAGATTTCTTAATTAAAACTTGAATAACACAAGGATAACACGTTTTATAAAATTTTATATATTATTTTGTTTGGAATGAGATAATATGCTTTACTATATTTAAATATGTTAAATAAGATTTTCCTTTTCATATTAATTTTAGTCTCTATGAAACTATTCACTTAATAGTTTAAGGGTGAGATTACAGAACGTCTGCAACTTTGCAGATCTGCAAATATGGCGGCAACTTTGAAAATCTGCAAATATGACTGACTTACACATGCAAGTATCAAGTTTTCGTATTCCAAATTTGGGTTTAGTGTTGTTGGGGGTAATAAACCACAATAAATATTGCGAATTTGCAGATATTTTTTGGAATACTTACATTTGTTAAGTCCGCCATATTTGCAAAGTTGCAGATGCAAAGTTGCAGACGTTCTGTAATCTCACCCTAAATTGTTCAATTATTAGTTAAAGGCATTTTATCTGGTTCCTATACAAATCTCCTAGTTCCTTTCTTGATATTTTTACCTTTTCTTGTAGCCTGGCTGTATCTAGACAGTTTAGAAGTTTAGTTCAAGCTGTATCGAAGAGGTTCATTTCAAGTCATAGTTTAGAAGTTTAGTTCAAGCTGTATCGAAAAAGTTCATTTCGAGTCATATCTTAGAAGTTTAATTCAAGATATATCTAAGACTGTTTATGGTGATTTCTATCAAGAAGTTTATTTCAAGCTATATCAAGAGGTTTGGTTCGAGTTACATCTGAAGAAGCTTCTGGAGATTTAATTTTATGAAGATTTATACCTAGGAGTTTGGTGCTATCCGAAGAGTATCGTTCGAGTCCCTTTGAAGAAGGCCTATACAAATATCTCCTGAATACTACCTCCTGTTATGACAGATAAGTTTTTTGAATAAATCATCTAAATTTGAATAAGTAAATCTCTGTGAATTAGAATTTGTTGCTACCTTATCTAAAACTTTGTTTAATTATAATATCTTAATGGTTAGTGATTTTCTATATTTTTATCACTAATCGATAGTCAAGTTTAGTAAGTTTTAAATATAGTGGTGCCCAAAATTCTTTTTCAAAGTAATACGAGTTATTTAATAACCTGACCCACTACCAAAATCATTAGAGCTTAAAACACTATAAAAAAATAGATAAAATAACAAGTATCATATTACAAGTTTAGCAATGTAAACTTACTTTTTATCATCTTTAAATAGACCAATTTTTTGTTAATTTTTTTAATTTAATGCTTATAACATAGTTTAGCAATTTAAACCTATTTTTATAATTTTTGAGATAGGCGGTTTTTATGCCGCGTGATTTTTACTGAAAAATCAAATTCAATGCCTACCCAAGTAACATTTTTAGATTTATCAAAGTATACAAGATAACAATAAAACTCTTTTTTAAGACACTGATAAAACTTTTGAATCCGCGAGATAGCCATAGGGCTACTATAAATCTACTTTAAGAGTAAAAGGGAGAATCCTATAACAGTTCTTAGGAGTATTTTTAAAATAATATCTCACAACTAATTAGACCTAAGTCAAAGTCCGTAAGAGTATATTAAGAATTTTATTAAACCATTTTTAAATCTTTTTTAAGATTATGATAATAAGTGGGATAGGCATAAAAACTTTACAAAACTAATTAGTTTTAAGAGAATTAAATTTAAAACTGTTTTACCTTTATTCTGTTTTATCATACTCTCTGACATCACATTTTATATTTTCAAATTATTAGTGACTATATAACCGCTAATATAAATCCTATTGTAGATGTGTCTTTGCAGTGATACTTGTCATCGTCAGAAAACCATTCTCAATTGCGCATACTACCTACTGGACTATCAGAAACAAACTGTGTTTAATTAGAAATTACATTAGGCGAGGAAAAATTTGTATAACATTATATTATAGCATGTTCTAATATAAATTACATTTATATACCCTAAAAAGTATTAGCTAACCCCTCGAATACTGTATGACTTATCGTATGAATACAATTGTTTCATATATTCCCATGAGACTACTGAATCATTAATCTTAAAATTGTGTTTTATCAGGCTATTTCTAGGAGCCTTCAACTGCAAATTATTTGAGCCCATATCACATGCAACGCCTACTACTTGGAGCCCTATGTTAGTAACTTCTTGTATGACGTTTAAAATTAGTTGCTTTAATTGCAATCCAGGACACGTAGAATTAACTAGATAATAGGCAAGTGGTTGTTTCCAATTCGTACATATGCCTCTAGCCATCACTACTGTGGCAGCTAGTGCTGGCTTAAAAGATATGTATTCACCTCCCATGTCTTCAAGATCATATACCCCATCTGAATTTACATTATAAAACAAATTAGCTTTACAGTTCATTTCATCCACAAAAATAAAACAAAGTTTATGTAATACCTCAAAACGTCAGATTTATTCTTTAACATTTTAAATAGTACACTATTTTTTATACAAACAGAAAAGTGAATGTTACAGTTAAACTTTTGTAAGGTGCCAATTCCAGGCAGACAAAAGTTATTTGACAGTTGATGTTTTTTATATAACTTCAGACCTAGAAAATATAGCGACAAACAATATTGCTTAAATTCACTAATGAATCGTCTGCCTTTCGGTTTCTTAATTATTTCTCCTACTTGTATATTTATAAAATCTGCTATATCTTTGGACGGAAAAAATTTGTTAGTTAGCTGCTTATAATCGGACAAAGTAACTTTATCAAGATAGGAATCAATTTTTTACTAAAAAACTTAAACTACAATAATTGTTCGTATTGTTCCTGCACTTTAGCGCCGGACAACGATTGAAAATACGCATTATCGCAATGTAACCTCGAAAATAAACTATTTACACACAACACGATAAAATACACTAAGTTCGCTCCTGTACTCCTGTTCTCTACACTACCACTTTCCGGCAGCAAGTGAAGCCCAGACAGCTGGCAATGAGTCCGCCCATATGCGCAGCCGTCTCAATTCCAACGTTCCGTTTATGGCGAGATGACCAGCTGGTAGTGAATAAGCTGTGTTAAAACTATGTAGTTTTAAAAGAGCCCTATCGTTTACTAGATTAAATAAATTATAAGATTTATGTTGTAAAATTGTTGAAAATGTACCTAAAAGGTTCTAGGATCAATTTAATTTAAAGTATATTCCTAAAACACTCTTTAAAACTAAGTTTTAAAACCTACTTAAGATAACTGCTAAAAAGTATGCTTCTTTAACACCAAACACACCTTACGAGTATTTTCAAACTAAATAGTTCTAAAATTACTTATTAACTAACCCTTACAGGACAGTGATAAAGCATAGTTTACTTTAGGATAAACTAGTTTTCTTAAACAGATTTAAAGGGATCTATAAAACCAAGTAATAAGATCAGTATCAGTTTATCCTGCAGTCCTATTAGCAAAAAAAAAATAATTGTTATAAAATAATTATTAAATTTTTATGCCTTTACAAAATCCTAATAAAACATAAATAAAACTTGTTTCTACTAAAAATGTTACTTGGGTATTTAACATGCTTTATCAATTTGGATAATTTTTTCCATTTTTGAGACCGGCGGTGTTTTGCCGCAACTAATTTTTTTTTAATTATTTAAGACTTGGTTAACATAGTTTAGCAATTTAAATTTGGTTTATCAATTTTGAGGCGATTATTTAGCAGCGCGGTTTATCATGAAACAAAGTGAATTCAAAGTCTATTTAACATAGTTTACAAATTGAACAATTTTGAACGTTTTTGAGACCGGCGGTTATTTAACGGCGCGGTTTTGTCGAAAAAACATTTGCAAACATTTTGACAATATTTTTCTAGAGCGTCCAATTTACTTTTTTTTATTCAATATTTATTTAAAAGAAATAAGCGATTAAAGCCTATTTAACATAATTTACCCATTTAAAACTAATTTGATAATTTTTAAAACTGGCAGTTTTGTAAAAAAATTATATTAAATGTCTATTTAACATCCTTTACCAATTTGAACATATTTTAACAATTTTTGAAATCGGCGATTTTTTACCGCGCACAATTTTTTTATAATACTCGTATATGACCTAATTAAACAGTTTAAACCCATTTTTATGATTTTTAAGACCGACAATTTTTTAGCCGCGCGGATTTATGTGAAAAAAATTAATTCAGTGTTTATTTAACATAGTTTACCAATTTGAACATATTCTGATCATTTTTATAGACCAGTGGGTTTTTTAGCAGCGTGTGGTTCATTCTGAAAAAAACTGAATTCCAAACCTATTTACCAATTTAAAAATACAATAATAATAAACTTTATTTGCAACTTCAATTTTTTTATACAGATGTAAAATATGAGAAAAAGAAAACATGTGCCAAAGAAGGCTGCAAAAAGGACTGGTAAACAGTAGAGACTGGTCAAAGCACCAGCCCTGAAATATGTCCAACGCCACAAGACATCGTACAAAAAAAATATATATAAACAAATATGATTTTTTTTAACAAAATATGAACATTCTAAAATGTAGGTAGGCTATTACTTTGCTGTGTCGAGAAAAAACTTTTTGTAAGATTTTTTGAAATTTTTTACGGACATTTCTTTAAAACGTTCTGGGATATCAACAAAGCGTTAATGTTATAGGTGAAAGAACGTATTACGTATTGGAGGTGAGATACGACCACAAAAACGTAGATTTAGATTATGAACATCAGAACAATACCTTATTTTATTAAAAAGATATGGAGATTTATTTAAAATAATAGAATGAAACAGATTTGCCGAGTGTAAGACTCGTCTGGATTTCATATCTAGCCAGTTTGAATCCTTGAGTTTATGTGAGACTCTGTCTAATTTCCGTATTCCATAGGAAAATCTTAAAAAAGATTTCTGTACTCTCTGAATTCTGATTAAGTCTGCACTATCTAAACAGGGCCCATACACTATATCACAAAAGTTAAAATTACTCAGAACCAGGGAATCTGTTAATAATATTTTTGTTGAAGTTGGAAGAATATATCGATGTGGTTAAAGTATTTTTAGATTCATATAAGCTGTTTGAATTCACTTGTTAACGTGAAGTTTAAACCTCAAGTCATTATCAATTACTAAACCTAAGTTGCGAGCAGATGAGGAAAATGGTAATATATTTCCATCAACTAGAATCTGCATTTCATTCTGTAGTTGATGTCGGTATTTACCAAATAACATTACCACACTTTTAGAAGAATTAATATTAAGATGATGAATATTTGAAAGTCTAACTAGTCTGTCAAGATCTTCATTAATATGATTACTTGCTTCTAAAGCATTATCATGATCAAAAGAAAATTTGAGTATCATCTGCATACAAGAATGGCTTACCGTTCTTAATGCTATTCCCAAAGTTGGAGGTATTTAGTGAAAATAAAGGCCCAAGTATTTATCCCTGAGGAACTCCACAGGAAATCTGCTTAGTATTTGATGAACCTGCATCGTAACTACAAATTGCTTCCTGTTATCAAGGTAGCTATTAAGTAGTCTAATAACATCATTAGAGCAACCAATAAAATGTAATATGGAGAGTAAAATTGTATGATTAATAGTATCAAATGCTTTGGAATAATCGAGCATAACAAGTCCTGCTGTTTTTTTAGCATCAATATCTCTGAAGAGATCATCAGTGACATCAAGTAGAGCTGTAGTATAACTATAGCCAGAACGAAAACCTGACTGTCGCAGTGGAAGTATTTCATTATTTTCTAAGTGAATATTTAATTGAAATTTCATGATTTTTATCATTTTTGAAACCGGCCATTTTGTAGCCGCGCGGTTTTGTCTCAAACAATTGAATTCAATGTATTTAACATAGTTTACCAATTTGAAAATATTTTAACAACTTTTAAAAGCGGCGGTTTTTTACCGCGTTCAATTTTTTTTATTTTTATAAATATGTATTTAACATAATTAAACAATTTAAACCTATTTTTCTGAGTTTTAATACCGGCAGTTTTTTAACCGCGCGGTTTATTCTGAAAAAATTAATTCAATGTCTATTTAACATAATTTACCAATTTGAACATATTTTTATCATTTTTGATACAGACAGTTTTTTGGCCTCGCGGTTATATCTGGAAAAAATAATTCAATACCTATTTAACAGGTTTTCTTGCCGCCTCAATTTTTTTTCTGATTTTTAAATATTATGATTATTTAACATACTTTAGCAATTTTAAATTATTTTTATCATTTCTAAGACCGGCGGTTTTTAGACCGCTTAATTTCATCTGAAAAAAAAAAAAAAACAACTCAATGCCTATTTAAAATAGTTTAACAATTTGAGACGCGCGGTTTTATCAGAAAATCTTCAAATCTTATTCCAATGTAACATAACTTCCTACTTTGAACCTATTTTGTGACACGCGATTTTTTTGGCGCGTTTTCTTTTTCTGATCCGACCGTTTTTGATTTTTTCCGCTCGAAATAAAATTTTACCTCTACATAATCCCGTACTTACCTACGATCAACGTGATAGCAGCCAACTGGGCCTTCGAATCCGATATCTCGTCCTCGTATAGTGAAAACGCCTGCGACATGAACTCGTACGCGACGGTTTCGTGATTTTCAAAACCGATCTGATCGATGGCCAAAGCCCCTTGCAGGAAAAGCCTTAACGGCAGTTCGGCCAGTTCCGCTTTCACCAAAGCCGTGATCGTCTGATGACAAAATTGAAATATTTTTGTGCATTTCTTCTCCCACTTTTCGTCTTTCAGATCTTTATATTTGTAAGCCAATTGGTAGGCTTGGAAAACCAACGGGGGCAAAGTGTATTTTATCCTTAACGAACCTCCGGTGCTTAATGTCTAAAAACAAAACAAAATCTGAGTAAAGAAATTATTTCTGGCATTCTGATCTCTCAAATTGTTTCGATAGAAATGAGTGGGTGAAAGTGGTGAGCGAAAATTACTTTCGCCCCACTCGCGGTTAAAGAAACAAAATTTTACCTTTCTAGCAGCTGTTAGTATGAGAAAATGATCATCAGGCCCTGCTGCCTTCATCTGATGTATGAACCTCGCTAGCAGACACTGCTCCTCGGTCAGTTCCTCCAAATCCACGTCAGCAACAGGATGATCGTTTTTATCGTCGGCAACCAGAGTCCCCAGCAGCGTCAAAGCCTGTTCTGCTTCTTCCGCAGTGGGTATTATAGTTTCATTTTCCAAAGCGTTGTTTAATATGTAAATGCTGAGCGATTTCCTGCCGAAATAATCCAGATGTTGCATCAACCCTGCGTAATGCTTCAGCTGGAGAACGACCAGCAAGTTGTTGTAGTTGTCCAGCGGGATTTTCAACAGTTTTAACAGTTCTTTAGCTACCGATGAATGAGATTCGAGGTGTTCCATGCCTAAACGTTGGAAAATCTATAAAAAAAGGCGTTGTTAATCGTTTATGATGTGATCAAGAAATCGGAACATACCTCTACGCTCGATAACATCACGTTATCGATATATTCGATTTTATCCGGATAGCACTTGAGTGCTAGGTTAACTAGAGCTACTTGTAGAGCGATCATATCTTCTGGGGGTAGATACTGCCTGTTGGCGATTATGGAGGATACTTGGTTGGAGAATATTTCGAACAATTGAACTTCTTTCAGGATGCTGGCTCCTAAAAAATTTTTGATAGCGTTTTAGAAATCCATTTGAGGTTATGATTGAACAATACGTGTCCAGAAACTTTCTTAACTGGTTAAATTTCACATAAACAAAAAATAGTTTTTTTATTTTTTATTAAATTCATGCTTATTTAATATAGTGTGACGCTTAGCCGTCCCTGTAGAACGCGACCTTAAACAGCCAACCGACTCATGATCGAAACACCGCTGAGACGTATAGAGACAAACGCTCCGCATCTCGAATATACCAGAACAAGCGGTACGTGACGTTGAGTCATAAAGATGGAATTGTAGGACATTCCACATCGTCTAGAGACTTCTCGTAGCAGAGTTGGACTTATCGGCGGACAGGCAGTTGAGAATAAAGCGTTGGACAGAAAAGTTAAATTGTAATAAATAAATTAGAATTGTAAGTTAGTGCGTAAGTATTATATAAATTAATTAGTACGTCATAAATAAATTGTAAATAGTGTTTTAAATAAATAAACTATAAATTGGCGTTAGAAGTGGAACTATAAATAAATAGTAGACAATCATGGCTAAAAAAACTGTGTGATTTAAAAGTGCCTGAGCTACGTCGAGAATTAGAAGAACGTGAACTGGAGACGATAGGGAAGAAATCAGAGCTGACAGAACGACTTAAAAAAAGCACTAGAAAATGAAGGCTTGGATCCGGAAACGTTTCTATTTTCGGATGATGCATCTGCTATAATTTCTTCCGATATGGAAAGTAAAATGCCTGATATTTCTTTATTAGATAGTCAATTTTCTTCCATGGAAACTAAAGTTTCTTCTGCTATCTCTTCTAATTCTTCTAATATGTCTTCACTAAAAAATGAAATCTCCGACTTGGAAAACAAAATGTCTTCTAATTTTCGTCTAATATTTCTTCTTAAGAAGAAAAAGTGTCTTCCGAAATGTCTTCTATGAAAAACGAAATTTCTTCTATGGAAGATAAGATTTGTTCCGTTAAACAATGTTACCAAGAAAGATAGTTATCCTCTGCCTCGAATCGACGATATCTTGGACACATTGGCCGGAAGTAAACTATTTTCCACCATAGACTTAAAGCCTGGATATTGGCAAGTGGAAAAGCCAGCTTTTACCACTGGATATGGATTGTGGCAATTCAATGTTATGCCATTTGGATTATGCATTGTCCCCGCGACATTTGAAAGACTTATGGAAAATGTATTGAGGGGGTTATCCTGGAAAACATGCCTGGTGTATTTAGGCGATATCAGTCTTGGGGAAGACATTTGATGAACATCTAAAAAACTTAGATGTTTTTAAAAGACTTTAAGCTGCACAACTGATGCTAAACCCCAACTATTTCGGAATAAAGGTCATGTAGTCAGCAAGGATGGCGTAAAAAGTCGCCTCTATCAATGAGTCGCCACAACCAAAGGATAAACAAACACCAAATAAGAAGTTTTCTTGGGCTTTGTACGTATTACCGAAGATTCATCAGAAAGTTTGTAGATATTGCTAAGCCATTAACACGACTCACAGAACAATCGAGGGAATTCTGCTGGGTTGAAGACTGCCAAACTGCCTTTGAAACACTAAAGAAGCATTTGACAATAACGCCAATACTAGGCTACCCACTACCAGAGGGAGAATTTATTCTGGATACTGATGCCAGTAATTTGGGAATCGGAGGAGTGCTTTCTCAGACTCAAGGGGGAAAATAAAGAGTACTGGGTTATTTTAGAAAAGTGCTCTCGAACCCTGAGCGAATTTTTTTTTTAAATTTTGACTGCACCCGAAGATGGAAAAAATTTAATTTCCGAAACATATATAAACGATTGAAAATAAAAACAATGACCGATTAAACTAAGGAAATTTTTATTTATATAAAATTCTACTATGGTTTTTTGCCGCGCCTATTTTTGTTTTGTTTGATACTTATTTAACATAGTAATTTAAACCTATTTTTTATAATTTTTGATACATGTGAAAAATGCTATCAACTGCCATTGAGTTGACAATCTTGTATATGATAGACATAGTTTGTATGATGAATGGAATTCTTCTTTCAAAGATAGTACACATGGCAATTCTGTATGCATTTTTCCCACATTCCCGACTCTCAATTACAACTTATGATTTTCCGATTTAACTATATCAATTTGAACATATCGCTCCAGCTGACAAGAATAACGACACAATTCAAAAGTAGTATATACTGAACGTACAGAAATAATTTATATTTCATCATGAAAAATGACAATGCCGAATTCTGGCCAACGTTTGCTAAACAGTGATATAGTTATTATTCATTTGAGACAAACAAGTCTAATGTGATAGGATCATTTCAGTTACACCGTCGATGGTAAAGCCTGATTTACAAAAACAGAAGCTTTTAGCTTTATACCACAATAAGTTATTTTTTTCAAGAATATTGATTTATTTTAAAGACTTTTCTTGGTCTAATTTAGTCTTTATATAAAATAATATTGTATTATTTGCTTTTTTGTGAGGCCGAATTATTTTAAATTGACTTCAGGGACTGTTTGTGATGACTATTTGTATTTTTCATTAAATATTTTTATGTATTTTAATACTATTGTATAATTATAATTTAATTAGTAAAGTTAACCTAAGATTAAATAAATTACATTTTGAAATGTAAATAAAAACATAAATAAGTTTTAAGACGTCATACTGTAAAATCAACTATTTTTAGTTACGTCGTTGTTCTTGCCTGCTAGCGATATATTTTGAGTAAGGCGTTTTTTTTGCCACGTGTTACTTCGGAAATACGGACACAATTAAAAAATCGCCAATTCTAAGATTATTGCATCAACATAATTGACAAGGTAAATTTTATACAACAGAAACAACGACACTTCGGTTGTTATACTGGTATTCGTTTGAAGCGCTACTACCACTGACTATTTTCAAGTTTCAGCCTGTTAAATTATACAAATAAACTTGATTGAAGTTTTTTGAGTTGTGCCAGTGTTCTCGAAAATGAGCGATATATAATCAAAATAACGTTACCTTCGCCTCCCACGGTGTCAGATCTTTGACTGAATGCCGCCAATCTCTCCATCAAACATATGACGATGTTCTTCACGTTTACGCCGGCTTCTAATTCGGCGCAAGATTTCAAAAACGGATTCAGCGTTTGTATGTGAAATTCATCAGGAAACACTTGAATGATGCATTCCATCAAATATTCTTGAGCTATTGCGTCTCTGCAACTTACAACCTAAAGGAATAGTTAATAATGTTACAGCTGGTATTTAGGAAATTCTAATTACGAACAGAGTCGAGTTGGATCTGGCATAATCGTAAGAATACTGGATATTGTTGCCAATTATCATGGAATATGTAAAAAAAAACTATATTTATTAAGACAAATTATATGTATACATGCCTAAAATTAAAAAGGTAAGGAGTTAATCAGTAAAAGAAAAATTATTCAAGTGATTGTTGGTAATATATCCAACATATTATAAAAATAGATCAGGCTAGCACAGCCCTGGGTGACAAACCCATCAATCAATTAATAATTCAAATACAAAAAATAAGCGTCGCCCTGTTGGTTACGTCACATATCTTTATCTCTTGCAAGTTCAAAGCTGTTATAGTTTCTGATGTAATCGGCCTTGTCGCTAAAATACATATGTCTTCATCACAGGAGGGAGAAAAAGCATAAATATTCCCCGCTACGCCCAGAGGTGATTTAAACACCTCATAATCAGATTTTCAGTTATCACCAGTAAAACAACTCTGCAGATAAAATTATTATAGAAATCATTCTACAACAGGTAAATCTTACAATGATAAAACAGTCCATCAGATTGACAATCAAAACTTTATTTAAGCGATGTATGCAGTCAGTTTATGAACTTTAAAGTTGGATATTACAATTTCTGGCCTTACATTACCGAATAATACAGCAACAATGGCAGCCATTTACTTACATTTTATTATCATTTTGTGGAACTCAAGATTTAGCAGAAAATCATTTTCCTAAGGAAAATTTCAAAAATATACAAAAAAAGGGCATTGAATTAAACCATAGAGACACTTGAAATAAATAGATTAAAAAATTTAGATAATCTGTTAAATGATCGATTAGATATTATATTCAACTTTACTAAATCTCTTGCAACTATAAGATAATCCCGGTAATGTTACTCTAACATTAAATTCATAATTACTTTGTGGAATTCAAATTAAACCTAACCGGATTCAACTCGGTTCTTTTAAATGTTATCCTAATTAAAAAGGCTCCAACTCGACTCTAGTGAACATTCTAATCAATATTTAACGTACCTGCTCCAAAATTCCTGGCAAAACCGATTTCTGGTACTTATCCAACGTAACGGACTCCAATTGGCTCAACCTCACCAAGTTCGTACCGACCAAAATCCTCAACTCCTCGCGTTCCTTCTCCCTGTTACGTCGGTCCCTGGAATGACCCTGATGCTGCATCCGCACCCATAATTTGTTCATTTCCGCGAAATTCATCAATACGAAATCAATAGAATCTTTAACTGTTCCTTCGGGGCATTCGACTTCGTTATCAGGAGAGTCGGGTAATACGTTTCTAGTGCACTGTAATAGATAGTTGCGAAGGAACAAACCTCTAAGCGGATGTTGAACACCGCGACACATTTCTACCAGATCTTTTAAAAGATCTCTACGTAAAGAATTGTTGGTTTTGATGTAAACCAATCCTACTGTTATCAGTAAATATAATCTAGGTACAATGTTACCGGCGTATTGAACTAGTTCGTATAAATCCGGTACTTTCGTGCCTTTCTGGAATTCGTCGACAAGATAGAGCTCTAAATGTCTCAATTCGTCAGAAATCGACATATCTGTAATTAATAAGTATTTTATGTCAATGGGAGAAGCGCAATTATTGAAATAATATGAATTAACACTAATATTCATTCACTTAGTCTACACCGATATTCAATTAAGTAGTGAAATATGCTGCGAATTGTTTATTCTTGTTTGTTTTCTTTCATAATTCAAAATGAGAGAAGCAACGACAGGCTTCTGACAAATACCATAAGTGAATGGTTACATTGGATGTAGATACTTGCGATTTTTTAATCGTGCGATGTCGTACGATGCCGGACATAAAAACAAACTAACTGATTTAAAGGTGTGCGGTTACATTAACTGCGTTTTAGTCGGTTGATATCGTACGATGTCGGCCGACTAGGAGAGAAGAACGCGTTTGTTTTTCTCGGCGACATCGTACGATATTAACGATATATAAAACTAACACCTGTGGCACATTCAATAATAACTGAGAAAATTTTGTTAAAAGATTTATTTAAACTGGACTTAGAAAAGCTAATTTTAGGTGTTCAATTGAGGAAGCCGTTGTTGGATCAAACATGTAAAGACTATCATAATAGAGTTATACTAAAAATGGGATGGGAAGAGATAGCAAAGAAAATGGAAGAAACAAGTAACACCTATTACCTCAGAGTTCCTTTTAAAATTATTTTCGATACATCTTTCTTTATCAATAATTATATTATGAAGAATACATGCGCATTTAACAATTGTTAAATGCGTTAACAATCATATCTGCTTTGTCTGGATGGCATTCCATGTCTTTTTTGAGGATCCTCCATTTGGAACATAGTATGCCAAATGCACATTCTACAATCCTCCTTGCTCGGGATAGTCTATAAATATTAATCTCTTCTTGTTCACTGAGGTTAAGACCAGAATATGGTCTCATTAAATACACTTTTAAAGGATAGGCTTCACCGTCCAAGAGCACATATGAAATGGTAATATCTGTATTTGGAATAGTTTGATCCTTTGGTACGCAAAAAGTTTTATTTTCTAATCGAAAATTAGAATGTTTCCAGTCGTTGTAACGGTTAAAACCGTTTTCGTTATTTAGTCCCAGACATTGTAACGGTTGTAACCGTTTTCGTTATTTTGAAACCACCATCTCTACACAAACGTCATTTGTCGTTTATGCCTTGTGTCCACATACTTTGATTTTCTTTTACTATACGGAGAATGGTCGCACTGCGTAGCTTTCTGAGTACCTTTTAAAAGGAGATAGAAAACTCCGCCATTTTGAACCCTTATTACGTGTTGCCTACATCTTGGCGCAATATTTTTAATAGGTGCGTTTTAATCATCCGCTTCTGCTTCGGAATTGTCGGTTTTCTTGTTTTAATCTGACAGGTTAAAACGACTAAACCGACAATTCCGGAAGCAGAAGCGGATGATTAAAACGCACCTGATATTTTGCTTGCTGCTCTCAGTGTCAGTGAATATTATTTTTGAAGTCAAAGTTTATTGCTAAAGAATCAGTTAGCTCACTCGGACCAGTTGAAAGTTCCAAAATAACATCCACTCCAGGGATACAAATTCAGGATACGCAAAAGACTGCTGTTTTATTATAGGCGGTTGTCATATATTGTATTATCCGAGTTGCGTAGTGTATAAACTGAAACATTGAGATCAAAAGTGCCGAATAAAAGTGAGCGATCTGATTCTTTAGTTGTAAACTGTGTCACAGGGTTCAAAATGGCTGCGCCCTATGTTGGGCGTGTCGGACCTCTCTCTTGCCTCGTATAGTAATCAAAGTATGTGCTTGTGTCAAAACTCGGGTTGTCATTTTCGATTTACCTCTGTCATCGAGCAAGTTGAATTATTGAATTTTAATTATCTTCTATCTTGGACATCCGATGTACTAATTATCTTAAATATTTTTAATGACCGTCTGATTTTATAAAGGTAAGTTTCCTACCGATATTTTGTTGAAAATATATATTTAGTACAAGAATTTCTTTATTAAAATGTCAAATTTGAAACATAACCTCACACATTGACTCACACAAGAAATCACATGTTTTATATAATTTTATCTATTATTTTGTTAGGAAAGAGATACTATGCTTTACTATATTTAAATATGTTAAATAAGATTTTTCCTTTTCATATTAATTTTAGCCTCTGTGAAACTATTCAAATAATAGTTTAAATGTTCATTTAATAGTAAAAAGCATTATCTGTTTCCTATATACTCTTCCTAATCCCTTCTTGATATTTTTACCTTTTTCCTTGTAGCTTGGCTGTATATAGATGGTTTCAGTAGAAGTTCAATAGAAACTATATAGATGGTTTGATAGAAACTATATAGATGGTTCGATAGAAACTATATAGATGGTTCAATATAAGCTGTATCTAGATGAATTTTAGAAGAACGTACAAGCTGAATGTTTAGAAATCTGGAAGAACGTACAAGCTGCCTGTTTAGAATACATCAAGAAGTTTAGTTCAACCACCGAAAGAAGTTAACGAGATTTCACTTTCCCTTTGAAAATTTAACAAGAAGGCCTCTACAGTCACTCTTTATATGTTACCTCGATTCAACAGATAAGTTATTAATAAATCATTTAAATTTGAATAATTAAGTCTCTGTGAATTAGAATGTGTCGCTACCTTATTTAATTATAATATCATAAAGGTTAGTGATTTTCTATATTTTCATCACTAATCGCTTGTCAAGTTTAGAAAGTTTAAAAATAGTGGCGTCCAACATTCTTTTTCAAAGTTATACGAGTTGTTTAATAACCTGACCCACTCCCCAAAATCATAGCGCTTAAAACACTATAAAAATAGATAAAATAACAAGGTCTTATTATGGATTTTATTTAGTATATAATTAAATGTTGAAGGCAAAATACTATAGCACCGTACATAAACAAAGAATAGTAAATCCACTCTCTGTACAGACCAGTCCAACGCCGCCAGTCGAAAGAGCATGCAATCAGCCTGCGCTCGCTGCTTAATACACCTGTATGCCCGGGAATGTGTGTGAAGAGACAAAAACGGCGGCAAGCTTTTGTGCAAAAAACTTCAAAGGCGACTGGGAGAGTGGATTTACTATTCTTTGTTTATGTACGGTGTCTAAAGTACTCAACTTTTGTGGCTGCTTGCTTAACTCCTTGAAAAGGGTTACGTACTCCCATTCCTGGTCTCTGCTTAAGTACATATCATTAACCCAATATTTTCTTTTTTTATTTAACATCATAAATTTTAAACAACTTTTTTTAAGGAAATCTAAAACCCCGTCGTCATCCATTTTGAATTGAAACTACGAATGCAACGAATCGCAAACAATGTAACCACACAATCGTAGGACAAACGGTCTTACGACATCGACTAAAAAATCGCACGTATCCGCATCCAGTGTAACCATTCACTAAGAATGAGTCGTCAGTCCTAGACAATGGAGTGGAGAGGGATAGAATGCTAACTGTCAATTTCGTTTTGCAAATTTTGTAAACAAGATTCAGGGACGGTTTAAGAACATTTTGTGCAACAATTATATAATATTAATCGTAAAATAACTAACATGTGTAATTTAATACTAAATCGAAATCATAGCACAAAAAATCACAAATATAAGCAAACCAATTATGACGAAGTCACTAAAGTTTAATTTTAATTAATTATTCAAATATTTATTTCAATTAATTTCCGGCTGACACTTTTATTTCCTAAAAATTCCCGTTTTTAAAGATTTGCGAGAGCCCTCGTGGTTTAAAATATATAATTTTTTACTGAATTTCAAATCCAGATTTAAACGTTCAATTTCATGTAAATTATCTGGGTATATTCAGCAGGTGTCATTTTTATTTCTTCCGCATGTAAAATTTAAAACTGGAGGTGGTATCTCTCATTCAAAAGTACTCGTAATCTGAACCAGTCCGTTCGTGAGGTATAAATCTGAGAGCCCAAAGGACTCCCTCTCTTTCTCTGCCGCCCAGTTCTGCTGCTTGATTTAGTGCCGAACATTAGCTAGCGAGAGTTGTTCCTGTTTTCCGTACCGATGCCACTATCACCGTTATTCAAGGTAGGAATCAAACAATATTATCTTTACTTCTTCTGTTTTTGTTAGGAAGCACCGATAACTTAGGTTCGTTTTCCTGGGCATCCAACCAACGCTTCATTGAACAGTCGGAAAGCATTAATGTCTGTTCATTTTATTTTTGTATGGAAAACCATTGGGAGTTTTCGGAAGTTTCGTAGATTGACAATTCAAGTGTATTTTCTTTTATTTATTTTTTAATTTGAAAACCGCATGGGAATTTTTTGAAGTTTCGTAAACGGAAAACTCAAGTGTTTCAGAGTTCGTCCACTCTACTTAACTTCTTAAAAACCCGCGTCATTTCAAGTCAGATCGAGACTAACTCCATCCCATTTATTTTACGGAATTTATTTTATTTCGTTGCTCGACCCGATCCGCAGAAAGCTTGTCTTTATCCGCAGAATATAGTATTTGAAATTTCAACCTATAACCATCAGGAAATTAGAATTTGAGGACAATTAAATATCTCTTTAAAATTTCCGAATTCCTAATCAGCTCGACTGAGTCATTCTACCAAAGTCACTAACGAACCGTATACATTTTTTTCCCTTTTTTTGGTTTTGTTCCGAGATAGGTGAATGAACGATGAACGTGCGAAAGGTCTAGAGTTGGGACACCCGCGTTTCCAAAGGTTATTTTGGAACCGTAATTAGAAATCCGTTTATTTTGCAAATAATTTTATTTATAGCCGATTGAATGTTATTGCTGCCTTATTTAAGCTCTCACGCACCTTGAGAAACTAATTTTTTATACAATACGCCACAGAGTTATTTATATTGGCTAATATACGGTGAGCACCATAAGTCTTACCCCCCCTATCTAACTCGTTACTGGAGTCTTGCTAGGAAAATCGCTGAGACACGTCGATTTTTGATTTCTACAATGTACATTTTTGTATGAATAGTTTACCCTTAATTTCATCCCTTACTGGAGGGGAGCACCCCTTTCGAAAAATTTAAA